TAGACTCTTTCTTCAAAGTTCTGCAACCTCGGTAAACAGCTTTAAAGCCAGACTTGACAAACACTGGAAGAAGGAGCAATATAATTCACCCTTTTCCCAGTTGACACTCCCATTATGACAATCCAGATATGAACCAGCAAGCAAGATACAGATGTAAAATGACCATAGTGCAAGACCCGGAAGCTGGGACACCCCCCCCCCCCCCCTTGAAGTTAGACCTGGAAGCTTGGCAGCTAGAGATGGCTTTGTTCCAGAAGCTTTGGTATTCAAGGTTTATTCTCCAATGTTGACTTATTCTAAAGATTAGAGTCCAATAACATAATAAATTTGCAATAATTTGGTATGAGAACTAGTTTATGGAGTTTTGTCTTCATTTTGACACACCTTTTGGGTGTAAGTGTACTGTACTTCCACTGGCGTACCTATGGGGGGGGGGGCAAGGGGGGCAGAGTGCCCCCCCTGACGGGCTCCAGGGGAAAAAAAAAAGAAAAAGGGGAAAGAAAAGAAAAGAAAGGAAAAGGAAAGAAAAAGAAAAAAGGAAAAGGGAAGAAAAAAGGAAAGAAAGAGAAAAAAGGAAAAAAAGGAAAGAAAAAAGGAAGAAGAAGAGAAAAGGAAGAAAAAGGGAAAAGAAAAGGAAAGGAATAAAAATGGGGAAATTTTTAAAAAAAAGACCATGGCCGTACGCACCAGGGGGGGGGGGGGGGGAGGCAGTTGACCCCAGATATTTTGAAAACATACAGTTTTTTTCCTGAAAATGTAGTGTAGGCCTATACCAAATCCTTCAATTCTACTTTTGAAAATGCAAAAGTACCCTCAAGACCACTTCGGTCGCTCAAACTCCCTTCACTCCTTTTGCTTTTGAGATTCTTCGAAAACTTTTAACGCATCTTTCCCCCTCCCCCACCAGAAAAATATTCCGCATACGGCCCTGAAAAATTAAAACAAATGAAAATAGGAAAATATAAGTGATATAACAAATTTGAAACTATTCGCTGGCGCGAACTGCTTGCTAGCCTATTTTGTATTAAATGTTTTCACTTGCTCGTCCCCCTGAAAAAGAAAAGGATTAGTATTGCCTAGAATACAATTGTCCGGGACAATTGTGCCTGCCCCGACGGGCCCCGACCTGCAACCATGGCAACAATAACACACACTATAGGTACCAAATGTTACTAAAAGAGACTAATTCATTTTTCTCGCTCGCGAATAAAATGAATAGACATTGCTTTGGAAACAATTGTGCCCACCCTTGACCTGCAACAATATCATTAAAAATGGAAGAGTTTTTTCGCCCTCTCGCCAAAAAGGAATTGAATCGCGTTAAACGCGATTGCGTCCATCCTGACCTGCACCAATAAAAACAAGTTTATTTATTAATTTCTATTAAAAGAGAATTTTTTTTTTGCTTGCTCGCTATGCTCGCTCGCCAAAATGGAATTGACACCGCTAACGTGCCAGCCCCAACCTGCAACAACCAGTTAATAATTATGTACCAAACGTTATTCAAAGAAGTTTTGGTGTGCTCGTGCTCGCCAAAACGGAATTAACATCACCTAGACATGATTGTGTAAGCCCTGCCCTGCAACAAAAAAATCTGAAATTTATGAACCAATTATCATTACAAAAATTTTGCTCGCTCGCTACGCTCGCTCGCCAAAATAGAAATAACACCGCTTTTAATTATCACGTCCCTGACATGAAACAATGAACCCAAGTTTATATACCATATTTTCCCTACAAAAGAGAAGTGATTTTTTTTGCTCGCTCTTTTGGCGCCAAAATAGAAATAACACCGCTTTTTAATAATCACGTCCCTGACATGGAACAATGAACCCAAGTTTTATGTACCATATTTTCCCTATAAAAGAAAAGTGATTTTTTTTTCGCTCGCTACGCTCGCTAGCTCGTAGAATTATGTGCCCACCACTAACCTGCTACAATATCATTAAAAAGAGAAATGTAGGGGGTTGCATGCCCGCCAAAATGGGATTGACATTGCCTTAAACACGATTGTGCCCGCCCCCTACCTGCAACAATGAAACAAATTTTATATAGCAATTCATTTAGAGAATTTTCGCTCGCTAGCTAAAATGGGTATAAAATCACCCTAAACACAATATTGTTCCCGCGCCCTGCATGGGACAATTGAACCAAGTTTAAGTGGCAATTATTACAAAAGAAGTGATTTTTTTTCTTGCTCGCTACACTCGTTTGCAAAAAAATGATATTAAAGGGGAAGTCCACCCTGAAATTAAGTTAGTTTTAATAGGAGTAGAAAAATGAGAGAAACAAGTCAGTGAAAGTTTGACCAAATTCCGATTAAAAATAAGGAAGTTAGGATTTTTGAAGTTGTGATCAATCAAACACAAATTGGCAACTCTATGACATATCATGCGAGCTCAACTTCCATTTGCTCAGTACTAAAAAAAATCTAAAATTTTCATTTTCCCTCAAGAAAAATTTCAACCATACATGCACCCTAAATATAATAGTTGCAAATATGTTTCTATATCCCCCTGCAAGGAACAAATATATATTCCGTCATCAATAACGAAGAAAACATGATTTTATGGAATATTACGCACAAAGCAAATGAAGGAGAGCTCGTATAATAAGTCACAGAGTTGCCAATTTGTATTTGATTGATCACAACTTCAATAATTCATAACTTTCTTATTTTCTTTCAGAATTTGCTCAAACTTTCACTCACCTGATTTTCTTATTATTCTGCCTCTATCGAAACAAACTTATTTTGGGGGTGGACTTTCCCTTTAACGTCGTTAACAAGTGAATGTTCCCACCCCAACTTGCAACAATACCAGTTTATATATCAAACGTTACTTAAAGATTTTTTTTTTGCTCGCTCGCTCGCCAGAAGTGAAAATTAGCATCGCCTTTTTTGTTTGTTTCGGTCGCTTGCCCCCCCTGACGGAGTACCCCAGGTACGCCACTGTGTACTTCTCAAGATGAGAGTTGATTATAGAGACAAAAAATGTGTCTAACAGATAGTTTTGAACAAATGTTTTCCTCCATTTAAAAAAGATCTAACAATGTTACACCTAGAGTAAGGGAGCCATGATTCATACATTTAAGCATTTGGAGCTCGTTATTAAAATAAAAGATAAATCAAGATGTTTTTTCTCCAAGTATTATAACTAGAATTATGACTATAATGTCAATAGCTTTTTTGCAACATCTTCCATAATTTGTGCAGTGCAACCATGATTCATAGAGCATGCAAACGTCAGCACGCAGGCCAGACCCAGAGAGCAAGAGTGCAACTTGCAACTTTGCTACACAGAGAGGTTGAGCTAGAAAGCATGTACCGTATTTGTCGACGATAAGGCTGCAGCGCCGCATAGGCCGCACCCTAACTTTGACATTTCAAAGAGGTTACAAAAAAAAAAAAAAAAAAAAAAAAAAAAAAAAAAAGGAACAAAAACAAACAGAAAAAACAAAATAATCGTAATTTTCTCATAAAACAATATTTTTTTTTTACAAACTGATACTAAATTCATCAATATTCTTATAATTTACCGGAAGTTTAGCTGAAAAAGTGATCGCAGGCAGATTTGGTGTCCGATTCCCCTACCACAATGTACGGCGTATTGCGAAAGTGCATGAAATGGAAAACAAAATGGTGACTTCGGATGGATGCTTTGCGGCAGTTCCGTTAAATGGTCCCTTCCTTTACTTTTGCAATGCATTGGCACGAACTTAGATCAAGATCTATCGGCAAATGTTGTTTTAGGAAGTTTATTTTTGTCTTTATGTCAACGATGCAAGATAAAATTGTTGGTAAGATGTTTGGAAATGTGCTAGACCATAGTGGTATAGTTATTTTACCGTTTGTAGTACCATATGTGCAAATTCGTGCTGGTTTTGACTCTTTTAATTGTTTTTTTTTACTCTTTCGCCGCAAAGGCCGCACCCCAACTCTTCCAAAAATACTGCGGCCTTTACGCTGGCAAATACGGTTACAATCAGGAATACCATGAAGAAGAAAACAAAAATTCAAGGGTCATCCGATGTCATGTAATTGTGTCACCACACTTTTACATTATGAACTCGTAGCTTGTGCACAGTTTTTCCTTCATAATCATTTTGCCTTGCGTAGACTAGAAGGGATGAGATTTAGATGACGTCATGCGCAGCGAGTTTAAAATGCGGCTGCAAGATTTACAACGTGGATGTCTATTTTGACCCATAATTTCCTGAAAAGTGACTGTCAAACGGATTATACAGTTAAGTTGGTAAGTGGCCTAATAATACGGTCGCTAATTTAACACCTGGGCGCGCCCGCACCACACCGTTGCATCGGTACAGGTATGCAATTGTATTGTGCAGCAATTTGCTGTGAATCCCATGAGAAATGTAATCAGTCTTCGTTTTTAGGAAAAATACTCCAAAAAAACTGAAAAAGATAAGAAAATTGACATGAAACAGGTAGGAAACATTACTTTTTAACAACTTTTAGATCTAGATCTAAATCATGACCATTAATTTATTATTGAACAATTGAACAATTGATGAAGATTTAGTCGATTTTCGGGGATCCGGGTCAAAGTCTGGATAGACTTCTGAACTAGCACCCAAGTTATACCATTGTAGTATTTCTTAAGTTGTAACTAGTCTTTGTAGTAGAGACAATTCCAATATGCATCTACTACTATACTAGTTGTACTAGTTAGCCCAGCGGTCGCGCTCCACGCCGCCCAAGCCATAGGCATAGCCAGGCCCAGGGCTCCAGCTCTGAAACAGCCAGCGCGGTGCCATACCAAAAGCCAATGGACATAGGGTCTACAGTGCACTCCACTGGTACGAAGTTTTTGACTGGTGGTGTAAAACTAAAAAAGGAAGTGTCAAAAGAAATGAAATGTCAACAATCTTTTTACAATCTTCCATAATCAAATAAAAGATCGTAGAAAGAAAGTAAGGCTTAATTTCAGAATTACCCGACTACACATTTTATATTTCGAATTATATAAATCAAAATTTACCTTTTAGAATGCCGTGCAAAGAAAAACAACCCTACCAGCGACAGCGTCTTGCTATGTTTACATTATAGTCCTTACAAAGAGATTACGCTTCGAAGAGGGTTTAGTCATAGTCAATAAGCACCTTACCCAACAGTACTAGACTAATCAACATATCAGCAGTGAGTAAGCTTTTTTCCAACTTTTCTCTGCAATATTTAGTTTTGAAAAAAATCTATGTTTGAAACTGTTTCAAAGATATTTTTAGCAACCTAGCTATCTTTGCTCAAGTGCAAAATTGGACTTTCAAAAAATGGCTTCAGCAACACAACTCATTTATATTACGGAAGTTACCGATAGATAATTGTCTTTGAAACATAAACTCTCTGGCAAGGCAATTATAATTTATTTTTATTATTAGGAAAGCACAGGGTATTTTAACCGGTACTTACGAAGAATACGCTCTTGAAGAGTCTAGGCATTTTGTAGATCACGATCATGTACGTAACAAGCACGATCATCGATTGATTGATTGATTGATTTTTATTCGACAAGCTTCCAATATACAACAATATACAATAATAACAGAACAAAGATAAGTCAGCTTGAACAGGATAACCCACGAAAGCTCGAGAGCTTATTTCCAGTGGGGTCCCTTACAGACATGTATACAATTAATAAATTAAAATAGTAATATTTACAGACAGATAAGAAAATTAAAAGAACTACTTATTAAAGATAATAATAACAACATTAAACTGATGATAGAAATGATATTAAGTACAAGAAGAAAAAGAAGAAGGAGAAGAAGAAAAAGAGGAGAAGGAAGAAGAGGAAAATAATGATGAATTTGTAGAATTTCTATAACGTACGAAAACATAAGTATATACAACATGAAAAAGTATGAACCGACAGAAGAATAACAATTTCAATCATATAACATGTCATTCACTTCTCTTCTCTGACTGTCAAGTATTAGGTATTCCTTTAATTTCCTCTTAAAATGATCATAGTTTCCTATTTCTTTTACACCATTGGGAAGGGAATTCCAATGTTTTATGGCATTGTAATAAAACGAATTTCCAATACTACCTACTCTTTCTGGTAAGTTAAAGTTGAATCGTCTATTTCTTGTATTATAATCATGTACGTCAGTAACAAGATCGAAGTTGGATCGAATATAATGATTCGCCCTAGTATGATATATTTTATGCACGTGATGCAATGCGAGTTGTTTTGATCTTTGGTCGACTTCAGCTTCAAGTTCAAGTTCAAGTTTATTTGTCTTTCTTCCAACATGAATGCAGAGGTGGCCCTCCGGGGGGGGGGGGCAGAGGGGGCACAGTGCCCCCACTTTTTCAAGCACCCGAAAAGTGCTCCTTTTTACATAGGAAAAGTGCTCCTTTAACTTTGTAAGAAGTGCCTCTTTTTACATAGGAATAGTGCCCCTTTTACTTTGACAAGACGTGCCCCTTGTAATTTGTAAAAGTGCCCCTTTTACTTTGACAAGACGTGCCCCTTGTAATTTGTAAAAGTGCCCCTTCCCTCTTCACCTCTGATAAGTGCCCTTTTATTTTCACACGTGCCCCTTTCCCTTCAACAAGTTCCCCTTTTCCTTTGCAAAAAGTGTCCATTTTCCATTCTCATAAGTGCCCTTCTTAATTTCTATAGAAAGTGCCCCTTTTCAGGTACGAGAAGTGCCCTTTTTCACTTTTGATAAGTGCCCTCTTCACCTTTGATAATTGCCCCCATTTAAATCTGAGAGTTGCGTCTGTTACTGTGACAAGTGCCTCTTTACCTTTCTAATAAGTGCCCCGTTTCCTAATGAAAAGTGCCCCCATTAATAAAAGAGCTCCTTCCTCTTCTCATAAATGACCCTTTTCAGGTACGAGAAGTTACTCCTTTTCACTTCAGATAAGTGCCCCCTTCACCTCCGATAAATGCCCCTTTAAAATCTGATCGGTGCCCATTTTCTTTCAACAAATGCACATTTTCCTTCATTATCAGTGCCCCTTTTTCATTCGCATAAGTGCCCCTTTTCATATCTGGTCGTTGCCCAAGTTCAGGTGCGATAAGTGCCTCTATTCACCTCTGATAATTCCCTTTTAACAATGATACATGCCCATTTTCCTTTCTAATACGGGACATATTCCCTTTTCATAAATGACCTTTTCGACTCTTATACCTCTTATAATTGCCCCTTTCAAAATCTGGTGGGGGCCCCTTTTCCGTCGACAAATGCCCATTTCCTATTCTCATGACTTACTTTTTTTATCCCTGGTGAGTGCCTCTTTTTGAAGGTGTAAGAAGTGCCCCATTTTAACCTCTGATAATTACTCTTTGTACTTCGACACATGCTCCTTTTCTTTTCTGATAAGTGTCCCCTTTTCCTCTCATCATTAAAACGCGCCCCTAATTTCACGCGACTTTAGAGCACGCATTATTTTATAGATGATATACTTATGTTACTTATCAAAAGTCTTTTCAGTCTTTTTTTTATGAGAATATGCTTATAACCCCATCAGGATTGGGTGTTTTCCTCTTTATAAGATGTAATTTTTCGCACCGGACCTCACAACTCATAATCTTTTTCCTCGCTCACTTCGCTCGCTCGCAAATAATTTTCAGACCATCACACCAAGTTCCAACGTATGGATGCTTAAGCAATATCTTGTATGGTGTATAAAGTGAAACAAATATTGAAATCATCCCTGATAATGTAATCACAATGTAGGGGTATATACCAATGTCTAAAAAATTGTATATTTTCGCTTTGAGATTTCCCTTTGTAGGTGCCCTGTTTTTTCCAGAAAGTGCCCTTTTTTCCTTGGTGCCACCCCCCCCCCCCCACTTTGGAAGTCGCTCGGCCGCTCCTGCATGAATGTAATACAATTTCACATATTTATAACATGTAGATTATATAAATGAAACACTTAGGCTATAAGGAACAAGTTCATATAGTGAAGAAAAAAGAAAAGAAAGGCGAGGAAACCTAATAAGAAAAGCTTTTTAGTTTGTAGATCGAGGGCAGGACCTGTAACAAAAAACAAAAAAAAGCCTGGTTCAATTAATACAAGAAATGTTCGACAAAGGCGAAACTAAACTATAACCATTATGATTACAAACATGGTTATAAAAAAGGGTGGGGAGAAGAGACTATGTACAAAGAGGGGAAATAAGAGTACGTGATAATAATGTGGGATATAGAAATGGAGAGAGGGGCGGTAGAGGGAGCACTCGAAGAAATGGCAATCGTACTAGGCTCCATGAAAAATCTAAACAATCCACCATCTTCCTGATTTAGCTTCTGAATAATGATAATAATACTAAACTACTGGAGTTTTAGTGCAGTGTAGTCGGAATAAAAGCCGAACTATATATAATAACTATAATGGTCGACTGATTCTGATCAAGCCGATTTAGCTTTTCCTCACTGAGTAAGTTCCAGGAAGCATGAAATCCCATGAAATTTAGATCTTCTTAATCAGATCCTAGGTCATTAAAATTGTACATGTTCTCTCGTCGTCAAAACGTTAGTACATTTTAACTGTTCCGCGTTCTTTCCCTTACAATCAACTTCCAGGCAACAACCAACAACCAAGCTTTGCGTTTAGTTTTACCTCATATAAAAACTCCATCAATCATCATAATTATCCCCATTCTATTTTATTATACAGTCCTTAATGTTCAAGTAACTTGCAATCCAAATAGATTATTCATTGAATTTAAGGAATTATATTGAACTTGAGAGAGGAAGAGGAGTCTGCAGTCTGTCCGACCACTGAAAAGCAGATAGGCCTACTTGATTGAAATAGCGGGGGAAACTAGGTGAAAATAAAAGAGAAATAGCGTATAACAGATGAAAATGATTGCCGCGGCCGGAGGAAAGGAACCTTGAGAGCCGGAGAGTTACTGAGCGTTTTACTAGTGTGGATCATAAATGGGGCCTATGATAACGAGAGAGAGGAAAGAAGAGAATAAATCGTTGAAGAGAAGAGAGGAGTCTAGTCAAGGCCAAGGAAAGATGAAAGTTTAGTTTGAAATGTTATTACAGAGAACTATACATTTTTAGATAATATCAATACCCATATACGTTTGTTTAAAAAAAAACGCGCTTTTTGTTCTTTGCGATAAACCTTGGAGGACTTAATAAGCTGATAATTTCATGATTGTAAATTAATCGGTTTATTGTTCTTTGTAATACTCCCTGGAGGACTTCAGAGGCGGGTATACGGTAATACCACCACCCCTATATACGAGATATAGGCCTACGTATACGAGATGGCGGTGGGAGGGGTGGTGAGGTGAGGGGGGGGGGGGGGGTCGATAAGGGGGATAGTGCATTGATAAATTCCCGGCCGCTCCACTCAGTGTTATTTAGGGTATACGCATATGCATGTTCCCTCCTTTTGAAAACCCCAGTAAGTCCGGTATGTAAAGTCTTTTTTTGTGTATGTACGAGCCGGACTTTGGTGCGTGAAAAGTACCCCTTTACCGGACATTTTGGTAACACGCATGGTATCCCTCCGTTCACGGAGTGGGGGGGGGGGGGGGATAAATTACTACGATTGAAAATTGATATTGTATGTAAATTAATATGATTTTTGTTTTGTTTTTGGCCCCGAACAGGCCATTTTGAAAATACGAAATAGGCAATCCATCTGTTTGTCTATACTTTACTTTACTTTACACATTTCCTTTCTTATAATTTGTTTTATTTGTATGTTGTTAAAACTTGTATGTATAAATGTATTTTGGAAATAAAAAAAAACAGACAATTGACAATTCTTGAATTATATTTGTGACTCGGAGGTGCACTCGATAGCAGAAAGATAGTTGAGCAAAGGTTGAAGGAGAGAGAGGGAGAGAGAAAGGGAGGGAGAGAGAGAGAGAGAGAGAGAGAGAGAGGGAGAGAGAGAGGAGAGGAGAGAGAGAGAGAGAGAGAGAGAGAGAGAGAGAGAGAGAGAGAGAGAAGAACAAAAGAAAGCAACTGCGTTGACAGGGGGGTGGTGTTCCCTGGCCATTGTTGGTGCCCCCCCCCTCCCCCATGTGCTACGTGCTGCTCTGCCGAATCGAAAAGAGCAAATGAAAAAACAGAAAACGCCATTGAGGGGGAAATCA